CGTATAATCAAACTGGTTTAACCTAACCACCCAGTTTGTCTAATTAACCGAATCAGCTTATCCCGATTAAACTAGTTCAACTGTCTGATTTTCAAAACATGGATAACTGGTGGTCACTCGGGCTTCTATCACATCTATCAGCGTTTGGTTGCACATGTGATCAATAGGAGTTTAGAAACGTATCTTCCATTGATTCCAAAAAATCAATGTGGGCTATTTTAACTCGATAACCATCACACATAATTCGATTCAGACAAAACAAACATATGGGAATAACGTCAAAACATCAACGTGTTTGTAGTAGTAAAAATATTCAATGCCAAAATTTCCATAGCATTTGTACATGATAAACTTATAAAAAATTAAAAAAAGAAAAAGAAAAAAAAAGACCAAGTACAACATACTCTCGAGGTATTCCCAACTATCTCTTCATCTTAAAAATCCTCCAAAATCAACACTAAAAAGACATCAAATACTTTAACTGAAAAAAAACACATCTCAAGTATACACATGATTTTGTCCCTTAAATAAACACTAAACAAAAACATTTTGAGTACCTGGTTGTGTGAGGTGCCATTTTCTCTCCAAACCTGCAACATGATTTTGTAATTGATCAAATCTTGTCATTTAAGTTCTACGCACGAGATGATTTCTATTCCTGTGTTGTTTATATTGCTAGATTCTTTATTCCCTTTTCTACTTTTCCATTTGATGGAAGGAATGGAATCGATCCATTTTCAGCGTGTGAATGTTTGGAATCGCTGTTTCCGGTGAGAGTAGAGCAATGGCGGCCTTCGAAGTAGGTCGAGTACGGAAAGTAATCTGCACATCGGACTTTCCATCCTACAAAACAGAAAAGTTATATTCCGTGATGGTATTTGATAGAATGGAATGGAATAAGCAAAGTAATGGAATGAGTAATTACATACTATGATCATGTTTAAAAAAAACACCATCTGACTAAAGAATTAAAAGTAACAAAATAGATGGAATCACATTCCCTGAAGAATGGCCCATTCTATTCCTACCCTGATTCCAGTCATACAAAACAGTATCCTATTTCCCCCGACCTAAGAATTATATATCATGGGAACTAAGGTCGGATTTGTTTTCTAGAAAAAACTTTGAAAAAAAAAAAAAAAAAAAAAAAAAAAACTTACTGGATGCAGCATCATGATCATTGAAAATAGCCTCCAATGTTTTGCGAACTGCAATACAGTCTTTAAGCTTCCATTCTCTAACCGATCCATTACTGATTAAAAAACACAGCATACTTTTTAGTATATATATGAACACTTGATAATGAAATTGTCCATTTGATTAAAAGGTAATATTGTTTATAAATTTATGATGCCAATAAAAATATATATATGATGCATTTTATGAGTCAGATTTACCTAGACACAAGGTTATTGGGTGAATCTTGTATTAATTTAATCGCCTCTCCTTTCTTGTTTGGTTCTAAACAGTAAATCATCTCAGCAACTGCTGCTCTGTGCATCAAGGAATCTACATAATAACATCAAGAATATAAATATATAATTAATATTTCTTGTATTTATCCCTTTAATGGTAAAGTAAGAAATAACCTTTATGTTGTTCGAGGAAAATAGTATTTGCCTCCATCAGAGATTTGTCATGCAACTGACTACAAAAGAGAAAACCCAGAATTTATTTCACAATACATAAAAAATAAAAAAAGATTAATGTTGTAAAAGGTAATTAAATAATCAATTTAACAACCTGAAAGTAGGTCGCTCTGCTTCAAGGACACCAGAAATCAGTTTTTCACCATCAGTGACAGGAGCTGGCCTTGATGCCACTTTATGGAAGAATCTTATCTGTAAAAAGAATGAAATATGATTTTTTATTGAGAAATAAAAAAAAAATTATAAAAAATACAACTATCAGAGTAATTAATTTGCTTGTTGGGATACCAAGCATCGGTGAGAGTCCGGGTTTCCAGCATCTAATCGTTGTAGTTGCTTCAGGGCCTGATGAAACACAAAAGTTAGTTAAGTTATTATCCAAATCAAATATAAGAAACTAGTTCTTTTTTTTTTAATTTCCCTCCATATTTTTATTTGAAATAAGATTACCTGTAATGCAAGCAAGATCTTTTGTTTTCGCATATTTACTTCAAAAGAAAGCAAATGTGTCACCAAGGAATCAGATGAATGTTTCTGAAGCAGCTTTAGATACTTTCCAGCTTCCATTAACGGATATTCAGTCTAACATTTACATTTACAAAAGATTACAAGAGTAATTCCATCAAGCAATATTGCATCTTGGGGGGGTACCTGTAATAGCTTCTCTCCATGTGGATCTGGATCAACTGGCTTGACATTTCGTTTCCCAGACTTGGAAACACCACCCACTGCTTCCTCACTTTTCACTTCTGCCTCCTTAAGAAAACATAGAACAAAATAATTATTAAACAAAAAAAAACAATTTTTGTATCCATAAAATGTAAAGAATTAATACTTTCTTAGCTCGTGCTTCAGCCTTCCTCTGTTTTTGCCTCAATTTCTTTTTCTGAGAAGCAGGTAGTTTTGCCAGCTCATCGTCTTCTTCAGTAGACGGCTTTGAAGGAGAATCATACAGCTTAATATAACATCTGCATCAAACAATACAAAAAAAATCAAATTTCAAAAGGTATAGAATATAAATAAATGAGAGATTATTTTACAAATGTAACTGAATCATCAGCATTACCTTATAGCTCCAACTGCTGCCTTCCTAAAGTAATTATGTGCATGAAGTCGATCTTGAAACCTTAACATTTCAATATAAGCACGCAGAGTCATTTTTCTTAAACAATAAGAATGAAAATCAAATTGATCTTCTGTAATATCTGCATAATGTTTCTCTACACCCAAGAATTTTTTCAAAGCACGTCCAAGATCACCCTGCCTCAAATAACTTTCTCCAGAAGCAAGTTCATACCTAAAAATTTTAAAAATTAAAAAAATATAGATATTTGTTCTAAAACTTATTTGTAATAAAGAAAAACTAACCACATGCACTGCATATCATGAAGGTTATTGTGCTGATCTCCATCTTTTGTGAACAATACAGCTGTCTTTTCTGCAAGTGGAACCTATAATAAAAAATACAAAAAAAGTAAATTAATAAATAAAATATCATACAGAAACATAATAAGTGAAAAAAATATATATATTATTTAGAGGTGTTGACCTGATCAGCTTGTAACATTCGTTTGACACATTGACTATTTACATAACGATCTGCAAGATCCATGCACCTAGCTTCATCTGCTAAAGCAGCAGCTGCTGTAAAGTCTCCACCATGTTTTAATATCTTGCTCTGAACAATTAGAAATCTCACAGGTAAATGTTGTTACTTTTTATAAAGAAATGTAAAAGAAGTTTTTTTTTTTTTTTAAAAACAGACCTTGACAGAGTATAAATCGATAACAGTTGGAGTGTGTTGCATGGCTTCATCGATTTTAGCAAGAGCAATATCATACAGCCCTCGTCTGTCATAATGCTACACAAGGAAAACTTTATAGTTTATAAAAATGAGAAAAAGGAAATTTTATAAAATCAAGTGAAGACAAACCTGAGCCAAATAAAACATGGTCCACATAAGTGTTGAGGGTGGCTCTTTTTCTGACCTGTATTAGATTTAACACATTAGTTTAAAAAACTGGAAGTTAATTTAAAAATCTGAAAAGGGATTAAATACATAATCCACAAATTAATAAATTACCTTCCGGGGTATCCACCAGTTGTCTTGATTGATTCCTCAATATCAAGGAGTAATTTTTCAAGAATATCAGCCTATAAAAAAGGGTAAAGATTTTCCATAGTAAAAGAAGAAATCAAGAAAATTCAGAGTTTTTTTAATTTTGTGAAAGTGGTAGCTTGCACAAACCTTTCCAGGGTGATTATATAGAGGAGAAAGGTCAGAGAATAGTGAAGGGACACCCTGCATGTGACATTAACAAATGTAAGAGTTTGTGACAAAAAAAGGGTCACCAAATCAACAAAATAAATAAATAAATAATACAAATTTAAGTACCTTTGTTAGGAGAGGCCTAACATAGTTATCTGCTGCATCACGGAATTTTACACCCTCCAGAAAATCTAAGGGGATCCTCTAAAAACAAAATGTTGTAATTTAGATAGGGGAAAAGTTTCAATTTTAAGTAAAAAATGTTGTAATTTATATCACCTTAACAGCAGAAGACCAGGTGTATTGTTGAGCAAGTGATTTGTACAATGTGTCCAACTGATCAATTTCTTCAGATGAATATTGACCAATCTTTGAGTGTAATCCAACACACTTTTGCAATCCTTCATAGTATCTAAGTGATAAAAGAGGTCAATTAATATTCATTTTTTTTTCTAAATTGAAGCTCATAAAAGCTAAAAAAGGTTTACTTGTAGTTGTCAGGATTCATTGATAGGAGAACTCTATACAACTTTTCACCTTCTTCAAAGCGATTAAGTTTCACAAGAAGAGAAACCTCCTCTTCCTTGTAGGATAACTTATCAACCTAGAATGGCATTTGCAGAAGATGACAAATGACAATTAATCCAATTTTTTCTCTTATTTATACCATTTTGAAACTAATAGGCAATGAACTTACAATCTTGAATTCTTTCTTGTTCAACTCCTGAAGAGCTTTCTCAATCAATCCACATTCCTCCAATAAAGATATCTGTATGACAACAAAGGCACATAAAAAGGCATTCTTTCAAGTTTCAATTGCTTACTCTATTACAGATATTAGTCATATTACCTTATATAACAACATTTCACCATGCTCACAACGTTCATTATCTGGAGGATAATCATCCTCAAGAGTCCCTTCATATGCTTCTAGAATATCAATAGCTTTTGAAGCACTGGCAAAGCAACATAAAGGTTAACAAAATCTTCTGGAAGGTTCAGGAAATAGAAACATGTGAATAGTAGTTTTTGAGTATAAAAGTATATCACAATTTACTTTGAGTTCAAATGATGAGAAACTGCAAAACCAATCCAATTCATGCGATGATTTGGTTTCAAAGTCAACAATTGTTGTCTGGTTTCAACAAAACCTGACAAATCCCGCATTTGTGCCTGTATGTAGAGGACAAAAAACACCATTAACTACCCAAAAGAAGATAAAATATGAGATATATAATGCAAGAATGCCCACCTGTAGAAGTGATAGGTCCCTCAAGATTTCAATATTGTCAGGATCTATCCTCAGAGCATTTCTGTAACATTTAATTGCCTCCCTATACTCTCTGTCTGACCGATACAGAAGCCCATAAACATGCCAGCAAACATGGCTTTTCAAGTCATTCTACAATGAAACAAGTGATGCTAAAATTCATATTAGATATATACAGACCAAAAAGAAAGAAAAACATTTAAGATTTAATGTGAAATATGATGAAAAGAAACAATTCCGACCTTTAAACCCAATCGTACTAGCTCATATGCTTCTGACTTTCGGTCCATACAATTCAATGTCAATCCTTTCATCGAAAGAGTTTCTAGAAACCAAAATGGAAGAATAGTAAAAACTAATAATCAAAGGTACAATTGAGTGTAGCACTAGAATACTAGATAATAACTTATAACATAAACAAACCTCCATGATCTGGGAACTTCTTCAATATAGCATCTGCAGCCTTCAGCCCCTTTTTATACTGTTTTGTTTCATAAGATTTCTGGCAAACATACAATCAAGAGAGAATGTCTCAAACATTATCAAACCACTTAACACAGTCAGACAATGATGCTGGTAATATTAAGAAGTTGGCAGCACTGTTGCAACTAAAATATTATATTATGCAGAAATGCATGTATTTTGTACTCAATATTGCAATTAGAATTTAAGGTTCATGGATGAACAGTGAACACCAAGAATTTGGTTGGAATGGCTATTACACAAATGTGCATAACAACTTTGACTTTGTCTCAGACTCTCAGTCATCCATACTAGTGTGAAGAAAATGTTCTTTGATGCAAATCCAGTTAAATAAACCGCTACACTGTCCTCTATAGTGTTGCATGTAACATCAATCTTAATTTTTTATCCATCAGAACGAAGTACCAATTCAAAGTTCATTCAATGTGATGCATCAAATGCATGAATAGTAAAAAAAAGGAACTTGCTGCCAGTTAGTACTACATAAAAGTCGTATCTTTACTCTAATTCATAACGAACAAAACACACTTCATAATTACAATTGACGATCCAATTTCATCTACACGTAACAGTCAACGAGATAGTTGTGTACAACCAAAAAACTAGGGTTCTTCAGATAGACTGGCAGAAGAAATAACAGATTAATACAGTGATTAAATCAATACAGACTGAAAAACTTACGACGATTAGCTTGAACAGGTTGGCCTCCTTGGGAGGTAGCGAAGCGCCCATTGTGTCTTGCAAATTAGACACTTCTTGAGAGAGAAAGTAGATGTATAAATACACAAACACACAGAGGTTCGGTAGCTCAGTGAAGGCCTTTAGGTCACTGGAGAGAGAGAGAGAGAGAGAGAGAGAGAGAGAGAGAGAGAGAGAAGCGAGTGGTGGCGTTTATCTGCTGCAACCCTACTCAGAAAAGAGAGAACGAGGAGGCGAAGGCCAAAAGCTTTTTTTAGTGTTGGAAGACTACGAGGGGTGTGTTTGTAATTCTTTGATTCTTGAGACTAAGCTAAAATGTTTCCAGATTTAGCCACCAAACAAATAAAATTCGAAATTTAGCCACTAAAATTGTAACCAACTCTAGGTTTCCGTTATCCCCGTCAAATTAGTCTTTTTTTTAACAGGTAGGATGTTCTAATTGAAGTAAAATTTGTAACGACTCATATCTTGTATATGTAAACACATTATAATCAATTTATTTTCAAAGCTAGTAGTACTTTAGTATGCTTGAATGTTGGTTAAACAAAAAATGTTGTATAATGAATAAACTACTTCAAAACTTTATTCAATATGATATCCATCACAAAGTTTAGAGTTTTATTTGGCATTTAGTATTAAGTTTAAAGTTTTATTCAACAAAAATCATAAAATTAAAAGAAAAATAATGGTCACAAAAGTTAATTTTTATCTGTTATACATCACAAAGTTCAAAGTTTTATTCGATATTGATCTTGTTCGATATTTTATTTGATATCCATCACAAAGTTCAAAACATATTCGATAAACATCACAAAATTTAATGCCCTATTCATTTAATATCCATTACTAACATCACAAAGTTTAAATTTTTTTATATTCTTACTTCAAATACAATCTTATTTTAAAAAAAAAAAAATAACATTATCATAATATTCCTTTACCATGTATTTTTTTTAGTTATCTCTTCGAAACACATTTTTAAGGTAATCGTGTATGATTTTGTTGAATAGATTATCGAATGGAACAAGTTGAGACAAAGGATCATATTCTCATATTTCCGAGTTCCATAATCATGTTATTAACACCGTTTACATATTTAAGTTCGTTCGATTAAACTAGTTTGAATACCACTATGAGTTGTATCATTTTATGTGCTTACAATATACTAGGTACAAGATCCACGCATCAAAATTTTTAGCTAAAGATTAAACATAGAGCAAAACTATTACTCGCAATTGGTTCAATTCGTGTTGTTCCCCGGTTAATGCTTGTAATTTCTAGATGTGCTTTCGTATAGCAACTTGCTATTCGTTTTTGCTTATTATAAACTTTTTTGTTCTGAAAAAAAAAAAAAATCACAGTGTTAAAAGGATACACATCATAACAGTGTTAAAAGGATACACATCATAACGTTTAATAAGGGCATATACGAAATTCTCCCAAAATAGGGAGAAACTAGAAACTTTTGGAAGTGAATTTTACAAAATAACAAATTATTTTGCTTGTTCGACAAATAACCACCAAATAAAAAATTAGAAACTTTTGGAAGTGGTTTTTTTTAGTCGTGAAAGGATCCTTTATTTTAGATTTTTTCTCATTTTTCAACAAAAAAAAATCAAAAATCTCTTTTTCTTGATAAGAAACTTATTTTTGCAGACAGAAACAGTTCTTTAAATCACCACAACAAAAAAAAAATCATTAATGTTCATAATAATATGAAAAATTCCATAAGATATGGAGAACAATTTCACAACATAAGAAGAAATATCACAGTTATATAAATTTCTTTTTAGTTTTTTAATATTATTTTTGGTGAGAACCATACAAAAAGCAAATTTCACAGCAGATAGTGATTTCACAATAAGTCCATTGCAAAATTATTGGCTATATGTGGAAAAAGCCATAAAATGGCTACAATTATCATAATATTGTAATCCTAACTAAACAAACCTAAAAGCTAAATTCCAAAAGGAATGGGGGCCACTTGGGATAAAAATAAAAATAAAAAAAATAAAGATCAAGCATTAGGAACCAAAAACAAAAACTTCTTAAAGATCATACAAAGCAAATGTCCACAAAACCATGAAAAGAGTAGACATGAGAGTTTTTTAAGATCTATGAGCAAAGTGATTATCATTTACAATGTTATCAAATGCCTCCCTTACTTCATCTTCTGTCATCTCAATGGTATCATCACTATCATAAGCAGCAGCAGCATCACTTTTTGGATTTTCCTTTTTTACCCCTTTCTCAATCTTGGGTCGTTTGTTCTTATTATCTTTTGTGTCATGTTCCAAATTGCCAACCTCAAATTCATAAATTTTTTTACAGACAATTGCTTGGTGATAGATGTCTTTTTTAGAATTATCTCCAGATATATCCAGCTTGTTTAGCTCCTCAATGACACGTGGCACAAAACTCCACTCCTCCATTATCTTTCCCAAACCCTATAAACAAAATAGAAGTGGATTGAATAACAATAGAGGAGCATAAATTTACTAGCAAACTCTATTGAGAAAAAATTACATACCTGCCCCTGCTTAAGAGAATCTAAAGCATCCTGTAAACATGTCAAGATTCCTTCAGCTGCTACTTTCTTTATCTCACTTGGATCAGGCTGTGTAATATGAAAGAAGGTCAATTTTGTCATTTACCATCTCATTGCAGCACAACTTACAAAGACCAATATGTGTTACCTTTTCATCTTGGCTTTCCAACCATGATATTGTCCTTTTCACATCATCTATTGCCCATTTCTTCACTTCAGAAGTTGAAAACTCATTTTTAACATTCTTGTGAGTTGTTTGTTTCTGAATATCACATACAAATATGTCATTGCAATTAATACTTAATCATCCAACATTTATATGCACATTGAAGAATAACTAAATAAACCTTGCTCAATGTAGAAGCCTGTGGTTTTGAATCTGTAGACTTATCTACTTTCTTAGAAGAGATGTTTGTTGAACTAGGGCTACTTTGATGCCTCCAAGGTTTACCAGCATGTAAAAGGTAAGGTTCAATGCCAACAACCTGTTTCTGGTTGTGACACTCGGTTATCCAATCCTAAAATAAAGTTATCAAATTCAAAAAATGTTCATACCTCTAACAAGTAACAATAATAAAAGAAGATATAAAGTTAAAACCTTGGATATAATGGTTCCATTATCAGCCTCAACTTGTCTAAACTTTGGGGTGTTAGGAAATGCACAAACTAAAAGGGTGCAATTGTTGTTCCAATCAGCTTCATACTTTGCCCCCATTTCCAATGCTTGAGACCTTAATGTGCTGCGTTCAGGGTTAACAAATCCTGAGAGCACAAATACAACCCCTTCCTACAAGAATCAATGATAATGTCAAGAAATTTAACAGAAGAAAAAAGTGAATTGGAGTATTGTAGATCATCTCTTACCAGGAGTTTGGAGGATTTATCAGCACCTAAACTTGATTCAGAAGATGTTGTGGCTTGGCTGGCTTGTGGTTTACCTTGTCGTTTACCTTTATCATCTTCAGATGGTTCCTTACTCTCAGATTTTTTATCAGTGTCCCTTGAGCTCATCCATGAAGGGAGATTCCTCCCTGTGGCCTTACTACTTCCAGAATCAGGCATGTCAAGACACCTACTTGCACCAACTTCGTGACCTAATCATGTAGGACGAAATCAGAATTCTAGCTTATGCATATTCCTAAATATGAATATCGGACTGTTTGGGTATCGGATGTGCCTAAATATGAAGAATTTACACGCATGTACACCGAAATTGAACAATTACAAACAGAATACAAGGTGAAGATAGATTCTTGCTTGAAATTGTAATTAAATCATGCACAAGCGCAGAATAATTTATCAAAACCTTGAGCAAACCAACAAATTGGGACGACTGTGTTTTTGCCGATAATTTGTGCTCGAACCGGTAGTGAATGACCAATCAATGGCGTTCCTCGGTCGTTGAGTCCCTGAGAATTACGGGAAATTGCGTACTTCACTGATCAACTCCTCTGGTAACGGCCGGTGATACGTGATACCAATACTTCACCGATCGGTGGCTTTTTGCTCCTCCAGAGTCCAGCCTCGAAACTACCTAAGACGTGGGTTAGTGATCCGGACCCGTCCATTTTCAAATGGGCCATTTGTTTTGTGTTAATTTAGTAAATTTAAAAATAATAATAATAATAATAATAATAATAATAATAATAATAATAATAAGTATTATGTTTTAGAAAAATGTGAATTTAGTATTATTTTTTATTTTCTTTTATGATTTAGTCACTAAAATATACTATATATAAATTACAATGAAATTATGAATAGTATTCTTTATACATTTTAGAAATACTATATATTAATTACAAACTAGGAGATAAGTCGGGGCTTCGCTCTAAAACGGGTTTTTTTTCGTATTATGGTATAACAGATTTCACAAAAATTACCGAAAAAAATTATGTTGTACGCTTATGATAGGAATAAATGAAAGACGTGTGATACTTGTCTTGGTCCCCATTGTCAATCCACCATTTCTCTGTTCAAAAAAAAACAAAACAAAAAATCAAAATTATATGTAAAACAATAAAACAATATATGTGAAATGGGAAAATGATAAGGAGAAAAAGGAATAATATTATAGTCTATTTACAAATACTCAAGTCTACACTACTAGCACCAAAGTTTGATTGCATAGCATTTGGCATGGTATTTTGTGATCTTGTTTCAATAGTCGACATCTTCAAGGATATCTTTCGTAGATAATCGGACTGAAAAACCAAATTAGTTGAATTTTTTTGGTCACATGGTACCTACAACATGTGATAAATATCATATCATAGAACAAAAAATAATCATGACATGTTGCACCAATATAAATCTTCTCTTCAAATGTCAAAACTATTTTCTTAACTTCATATAGCCCTTCATGTCCACATAATGGAAGATGTCTCTTCAAGATATTCATTCTATGATCATAACATGGATTCAATCATTAGTGGTAAGGTTACCATGACCGAATTCTAATGGAACATAATATATAAAAATATAAGAGAAT